CCGCCGTGAGAACCTTAAATCTCACCTTTGCTTAAAAATCTTCAGATGGTGTCTGATTATCCAAAAATATCCGAAAATGTGATGCCCTTAGATGGGAGTGTCTCCTTCTGGCCTTAGAATCGCTTAATGTTGAACAGTGATTTTGTCAAAACTGCTGTTAATTCACTAGAACATACCATAGTAATGACGAGGGAATCTTTAATACCAATGTAGATCCCACATTTAATTCCAGAGGGAGTCATTCCTAATTTTAAAACACGAATCAAGTGTTCGATAGGATATCTTATCGGTCTCATATTCGAACCCATTGTACTCAAAAGAGTAGCCATAATGCTTGCTTTGAACTGGAATTTCATGTAATTCCGAGACAGGTTATGTTTATTTGATGAAAGAATCTCGGGCCACAAGCCGCGTCAGATGGCTGAATGGTGCATGAAACATTTCTTCTGCCAACGTTTCGAGAGCCATCTCTGTTCTCATCCTCAGGGTAACTGCGAAACGAAACTGGTGTTTATTTGTTTGAAGGAAAGAAATATAAAACGAAATTTTATTTGTTATTTGGAGACTATAAATCTGTGGATTGAATTTTATTTAAATTAGTCTCGGCCATAATAGTTTGCACCTTAATATGTACAAGAATAGTTGTAACTTAGCCGCGTCTGCGTGTGGAGTCAGTTTGCATTGCAATTTTAAAATTCGCACTGACGTTTCGCCAGTAAGTTAAGGTAGAATCCACTGTCAGCATAATAATATAAAATCAGTTTTTGATATTGTGATAAAAAATCAAATAGTACACATATGTAGAAAATTCCATTTCATTTCAGAGTCCGTACGAAGTATAGAAGTGTTTTATAATTTCCTCGAGTTTGAAAAGTGGAGACGAGAGGTGGAATATTTGCGTTTGTCTGTTTGTTTCTCTCACTTGTCTCCGCTCCTTTCTTTTATGCACAATTTATTAAATATACTTGGAATATATAATTCTTTCTCCATAGAGACAATTGAAACTGTCAACTGAAGTTTCAGTTCCACTTGTAGGTGAGGAAATTCTTTTCTTTTAACAGCCAATGTATCATTTGCTCATTTAGTCTCCTGAATTCTGTTACCTGAAAATTATTCTATTTATTCTTTGCATAAGCCGAAAAGTGTCCAAAGTTTTCTTGTTGGGTTTGAAACTTTACGACGGTTATGAAATTGAATTTCTGCGGGAATTTTTGTGTGTACCTGAAATGAGAAATCATAAATATTATGTAAAATTCGTTGACAGCTGAATAAAATTCTTTATAGAACTGAATAGCAAGTGGACTTCTGCATGAATCTTTCCTTCGTACAATGAATTCCTGTAATGTAAGAGGAATATTGCAGATTATGTTTTTACCGACTGAGGCGAAAGGAGTTGGTTGAGGAACGGACTCGTGTCCTTTCATTTTATTTAACCGTGGAGAAAGAAGCAGTTTGTTTATCCGAAATGTTGGTATCCGTCTCCAATTCCATAAAGCATTATAGCCCACGATTGTATTCAATTTCATAATGAGGAGATTCATAATTTGTAATCTTTACCAAATGTTGTTGGGACTATCAGTCGAAAAGTGTGGGGTTGATGGAGGAGGAAACACCTGCAGAATTTTGGTTGAAAACCTGAAGGAAGAGACCATTCGGACGACCTAGGCGTAGATGGAAGGACAAAATTAAATTCTAAATTAAATTAATTAATTGGTAGTGTCTGAAGTGGATTGATGTGGGCTCGGGACAGGGACCGGTGGCGGTCTCTGGTGGACACGGCAGTGAACCTTGTGGTCTCGTAAGCGGAAACGGAAGTTCTTGACTGACTGGGCGACTGTCAGTTTCTCAAGAAGGCTATGTCCCATGGAGATTATTTGCCATGTTTCTAAATGGAAGGGAGGCTTTGAAATATACTGGACCGAAATGTATTTCGTCAGATTTCGTAGAGTGGTATAGCGTAGTCGTAACTGCATAAGAACCACCTGTCTTGCGTTCCGCTCTCCGTTACAGTAATTTGAATTTAATTCCACAGTTATTTGAGGTCTGATAACCCATCGACATGGTTTTTGGTGTGACCACGGCGTTTATCGGGAAGTTCTCACTTTTCAGGTATATCTGCTCACGTGTAATTATCGACCTTATCCCCCCCAAATGGTGCATTCAGCCACTAGGTCACAGACCTTACGGCTACAGGGTGTTTAGGAAGACGCAACACCTACGGAACAGAGTCCTTCGAAAACTGAAATCTGAGGTTTTCACGGCGGTGGGGTTGACGATGTTCTTTTGGGTCAAAACAGAAACCAACGATTCGAAGAAACATACTGTTTCCATTTTCAGTGTTGAAATAAATCAGCCATGAAGTTGGAGACGTGGGTATGTACCTCCGGATCTACACGGAGTAAAACCTCAGAAAAGCATCGTGAAACTGATAGTTGCTCAGCTGTTAGCAGTGATTGGGTTTTGAGACTATTACCTGTTCTGTATTTTGCGACAAAGTGTATCGATTCTTAGAAAATTCACAGCTGTTTTGTCGGTCCGTGAATAAAAAAAAATTGACTATCGCTGATCTGGCCTTAGTAACGTAAAGTGAATGCGTTATGAACCCCCGTATGTTCTGATGTTACAGTATATACGTCGGAAGTTGATAGCGTGTACAGTCTTTTATTAAGATCTTTCATGCAGAGACGTTGGAGAAGGTCGTGCAACAGATAGAGTCTGGCAGATGAAATCGGAGGATTATCTGGAAGGCGGTGTGTGTGAAATGAGGCTCTATACATCTAGCGGGTCTATTTGATGAGTTCTTTTACATTGCGAATTAGAATTGACACAATCTCCTGTAGAGGGATTAGTTTAAGAATAATTTAATCCCAAATCCTGAGAACGTGTTTCCAGTGGGAGGAACAGAGAAACAGTTTGACGGAGATCAAGCTTTCAAGATTTTTTTTAAAAGAAAGGGGAGCATCATACATCCCATTTAAGGAAGTAATGGTTCAATTGTTCTTCTGTTAAGGAAACCAAGTGTCCACATTTTATTTCCTATTTTTTGTTAATCGAAGTCATAATTCAAATGGAATTCAACAGAAACAGCTCTGTTGTTGGTCTTACCCTGACTCCGTAACAATATAAAGCATTATTAAGTTTAAGGTTTACATGCGTCATGTTTGTGTTTTTTGATTAAAATATATAATAAAATTCAGGTCAATACACAAAACAATACTTTATTTAGATGTTAAAATTTAAAATTTAAATGTTAAAATTTTAAATTTTAAATTTGCGCTATTCATCACTATAAGGATGTTACATTTGAGCGCTTAAAAAAACAACACCTAAAGATGATGTATTACATCGAAACATGTTGTGAAGTGAACGAAAGCGCTCAAATGTAACATCCTTATAGTGATGAATAGCGCAAATTTAAAATTTAAAATTTTAACATTTAAATTTTAAATTTTAACATCTAAATAAAGTATTGTTTTGTGTATTGACCTGAATTTTATTATATATTTTAATATAAAGCATATTGGACACCTGACCAGACACGAAGGAGTACCGTAAATTTGCAAAGACTGTCGATATTAGCCTTGTGGATTATAACATCATGCGGTTTTATATATATACCAACGTTTCGGAGACACATACTGCCTCCATCTTCAGGGCGGAATATGGAAACAGTATAATTCTCATTAATAATTCTATTATGCAACTCTGTATAGTTTGAGCTACCCACAGCCATGGATAAATATACTATTCTGTTCAAAATTAGGGATAATTGAACAGCAGGTCTGAGTTAAACACTGTTTTTCTGAGCACCCTGCGTGACTTATTGAACTCGTTCTCGGGGTGAGCATTTTGTCCCTTGAATGTTTTTATGTACGCAAGAACAATGCCAAAGCTAGGGCGTGGGTAGATTGATAATGTCTTATTGTTCTCCAGGTTTAGGAAGTGCCAGCCAAATTGCAGGTGCGGGAGAAGATGTGGCAATTATCTCAAAACACGCCTACATACACGTTTCCTGCCAGAGCACCGAATCTATCTCTCCATGAAGCAGAGACCATCCTGAGAAGCTAGTAGTCACCTAGCTGGTTTTGTGGAATCTGAAGTTTTATCAACCGCCAAAGGATTCTGCCTTAAAGCACGTGAGTCCTGAAATCCTGTTTATTTAATATTTATTTTAACGTTGTACTTCTATAAAAACCTTTTTTTCTCGTAAATAGACTCTTTCTTTCAGGTTTTGCGAACAAAGTTTTCCACGCATGTGCCTTGCCCATTTAGTTCGTGAATTGGAAGTAATTGCCGCTATTAATTTGTGAAAAATTCCCAAATGCTTGTGAGACTGATAACCCTCGTTTGTGTGCTGTTATCAGAAACGTCTTTATCAAATTTTAATTAACATGAACCGATATGTTTAAAGTGGCCGTTAAGTATAATATTTTTTTTCTTCCTTTTTTAAATTTTATTGGAGTGAATTTTCAAGTGGCCCTTATATGATGCGTTGAAACTCACAGTTCATTAATTTTTTTAATGGTTACGGAGTTATTGCATACGGGTTTAATTGTGTCCGTGTCCCAGCTCAAAGTAATAAGTTCGATCGGCTTAATATGTACGCGGTCTGGTGTTAAATGAAACGTCCGCCAGGTTTTTCCGCTCTTCAGATGTTACACGAACAGTACAGAATCATGGAAACTCAAAATCATTATCAGGTTTTTTTTCGAGTGTTTTTATTAATTGATTTTACTGCCTCAGTCAAGTATTAGACAAGCTTAGATCTTTGAGAATGGGTGGTGATTGTGTTTGATGCTGGTGATAGAGCCCATAAGTGGGTCTCAAAAGGTCAAGATCGTTGTACGCGTTTTATGTACCACCGATAACATTCCTGAAATAATTCAGTAAACGTTTAGTACAAGCGCGTTAGATCCGTTGTCGTGTATAGTCTGCTCTTAGCATTCTGTGAGTAAAAAATGTACTTATTTTTTCATCATTCTTGATTCCGTCTCGTTCCTTAAGCGGAAAACTTTCAACCAGTTGAGAGATGTTAATAAAACAGTGGTCAGGGTCACGTGACACCCAAATAATGTTCCCTACCTTTGGCGCGTGTACGAACAGAGACTTTTGAATCATTCTGTAGGAAAATGAGGTCTACAGTGGCCGCGCGGTCTGAGGAGTGGGTCTTGTGCCTCGCATCGTCCAAGGAGTCCTACCGAATGTCTATAGAACGAGCCAACGAAAAAGTTGGACCAGCAGTGCTCAGGCTCTTGAAGAACGGGACGTTCCCAGTATCCCCAGTATCTGTAGGAAAATAATAACCATCTGTGAGGTTCTGAAACGAAAAAAAGGGATGAAATACTAGCGATATATCTTCAGTTATCCCTCTCTAGGTGGACATTTTGAGATTGAACCTGGGTAAAGTATTATTTTTAAACTCCTCCTTCAACCGTTTTTTAAAAGAGAGAGTGGGTTCTTGTTTTTGTCGTAATTAAAGGGTAAAAAAAAACGAATTGAAGTAAATGGAATCTGTGCCACCAGATGGATGGATGGGGAGGAGGGGTTTTGCCGGACGTAGTATGTACAAGGAAGGAGAGCGAGAGTTAGAGTTTCTAAGCAGTTTGCACGTCGCAGGAATATGTTCCATGCTACGTGCTATTACAATCCAATAAGCTACAGGCCATTAAACCTGAAGAGGCATTACTTCAGCCTTCGCCGTACTGGTTGGCTGGCTGAATCTTTGGAATCCAGCGTTGCCTCTCCACGGGTATTCCAGGAAGAACACGGAAGTTGAGAAAGAAACGGGTTGAAGAGGAGGGGAAGGGGGGAAGTGGGAAAGGAAAATATACAGCTTGGCGCAGGTTTTGGACGACTTTCAAATTTTTGCACCTCTTATACTAGAGCAGCGATTTAATGATTTCTTCTCGCCCCGCCCTCGTATTAATTAGAAAGCCCCAGCTCGGGCAAAACATTGTAGCAGATTAGTCAGCTTATAATTTGAACACGAAACGTCGAAGGGTACAGTCGTAAACCTGTTGCGATGAGAGTACTTATACCAGCATGACAACCGTGGTGTCTGGAGACAGGCGATTCACTGGAAAACGAAGCAACTTACAATGACTGTCAGCAAATACTGTTTCGAAGAATCATTATTTCGCGGCGCGATTATAATATGTCGGTCACTACTTTTGGATTCTTTGAATGAATGACCGTCACAGGAAAGTTAGGAAAGAACTACTACCCTTGTGAGTAAAATAATTCATGTCTCAAAATTAACATCAATGTGAATTTCTAATCACATTTTGGGGCTGGCCTCTCTGATGTCAGTGACTTAATGTGCTCTTGTGTTTACGTGAAAAAATGAACCACTTCTTACAGAATATTATTCTTTTACTTCAAAAATGACTCTTTGAACACTTTAGAAGCTTTGCTGGAAATTCAGTTTATATTTTTGTCGACATTTAACTTGCTACAGATAATTGAACGTTTTAAAAACGACTTATTCTCTGCTTATAAGCATTTATGCCTTACGAAATCAAATTTATGCAGGAATATCTAGCAACGCACATTTGTTGTTAACCACGATAAAACTCACGGTATTTAAGAATCGTAAACTTACTGGATCATCGACCTTTATAAAGAGGAAAGCGGATTTTTTTTACTGTCATTTGATCGTCAATATAGGTTCTATTTAAATTCTTAGAAAAATATGAATTGAAATTTATCTTACATATTTGGGGACCTGTATGTAAGAACCGCACTAAGAAAATCAATCCAAAGTAACGCTAAAGTAGGAGCAAAATAAATAATGTTTATACACGTATAAATTTAGAATTGAAGTCTGGAATAACGATATTAAATAATCTGATCCATTCAGCGCATTATTTTATAGCAAACAGCACTTACTCAATGCACATAAAAATTCATCGAAATATAAAACAGAAAAATTGTAAAACGATAAGTCAGGCAATGCACGCAAAAAGCTAAACATCAGCATGAATCAACAGTCAGAACAGGATTATCTTCATTGATTGCCTTACTCAGACGGCACTGCTTTGTGCAAAACGGAACTAAATCACTTTTAGAGCCACTCGAATTGATTTTGTAACATACGCTCCCTTTGTGGAACAAATGCAGTTGTTTCACTGATTTTTGCTTCTTTGGGACGATTTTGGAGATACATTCCCCGAAACATTTGTTCAGCTATCGAACTTTTTACACCAGTCAACTAATTAACAAATTAATTCACAGACTAATTAGTTTTTCCTGTTTTATATTCATCTATTCTTCTTCTCTACACTGACAGGCTTACATCCATTCTTGATAATAAATGAAATACATGCGCCAATTTTTTTATTCTAAAATGAATATGTACGTAATTATGCCAGAAACGAAAATTACGCTTAAATCTGTGTTAGTTAAATGAAGGTGTAATTAACATTACTGCAAGTATACTTAAGCACATGTTTGCTTTAATTGTACGCGATGAAGTCCGCGTGTCGAAAATAAGGACTTGTCACTTGTCGGGAGAAGTTTAATTAATTATTTTTCTTTCAAAAAAGAGTCAGAAATTGGCTATACAAGGAAAAGTATGACGTTTCTAGAAACAGAACAAAGTTTTGTTAAAAAACTTTTATGTTTTCATTGTTTTTGTGTTTCTGATCTCGTCTTACTGCTGTCAGTTAACATTGCTTCTGAGAGGAGCGTAGTTTGAACTAAAGTTTAAAAAGATTGTCCTAGATCAGTATTTTCGAAACTTTTTCTACGTGAAAACATTTGGTCTCAAAATTACTGGCTAAAACCGCAAACTAAGTTCAAGGACGAAGATGCTGAAAGGGAATTGTTGATAAAGTATGTCTTCTGGGTTGTTGCGCCTTGTGGTCTGGTATAAATTTACCAACGTATCAGAGGCCCTTGCTGCTTCCATCGTCAGGGCGATTGTCCTTATGATGGAGGTAACAAGGACCGCTGAAATTTTAACGGCGGTGAAAATATGGACCACTGATTTCTGTGTTGTGACCCCGAATAGTCTGTAGGTGGTCACCAACTTTTTAGAATAACGTATCGCCTCCATTATCAGAGTAGAAGCGAGTCGTACATATTGTAACACCGTGTAGTCTTGTAAGCTAATTTATTGAGAAATCTGTGGAGAAACCACGGCCTTCATTTTCAAGGTAGAATTGAATATTCTAGGTTGTGATACCGTGTACACTTTGTAGACTAATGAATGGTTGAAATGTCGCAGAAAGGTATTGCCTCTATTTTGGACATTCTGTTGTCTTATAGATGGTTACATACAATTAAAATATTTTATAACCACGTGCGAGAACATACGATGTCATGACATTCCACAATCTGAAATAGCTGTCTCTGCTGTGAAAACCTCAAATCTTACAGCTGTTTTTATACCCTCAACTAAATCAAAGGAACTTTAGTTCGATTTTAACATTTCAGAGTTAGAACACTTTTTCACACAACGTTTTAACACACGCCACCATGATTGCTATCAATTTGTCTATCCCTCTACCAATCCGGGGTTTAAATAATTCCAGAATATTACGTCAATTCCGTGCCAGATTTTGTATATCAGCGTTTTTATGTAGAAATGTGATGAGTTAAAGATAGCGTGTGGATTCCAGATGGCTCTACGAACGGCGTTGTCCTTGTTTCATTTAATATTCAGTTGTGAATAACGCTGATAACATTTACGGTTTGTGATTTGGTAGAGGTATGTTGAGTGTACAGAATTTTTCTCCGTGTTGGAATGTAATTAAAATAAATGTATTAAAGTTACACGTGCTGTAATCATAATTGAGATGTTTGTAGTGAAAATTTTTATTTGGAGTGAAACTTTGACACAGTAAATGATAGGAGCATATATTTTAAATTGCATTTTACGCTGTACGCGAAATGAACTATCAATATAGATACAATTTTGGCAGCTTGCTCATAAACCTGTACGTATCTTGAATTCATTTTCAAATACGTGGACTCTTAACCGAAAATAATCTCATGTAACAAATCATTCATTTCTCGTTCTTATCTTAAAGTTTTCGCGACTGAAGTTCGATGCGTAATGTTGGTTCTCGGGGATGAGCCGCGTTGAATGTTAATAGTTATCCAACGTTTCGACAAAAATATTTGTTGACATCTT